ACATAATTTTCAGACCATAGCAGATACTGCATACAGTAAAAAGAATACGGCAAATTACGGTTAATTTAAAGAGATCAAATAACAACAAACTGTCGTAAGAAAACAGTCATGACAACAAACAGTATAAACAGTCCAAGTCATAAAAAAATCCTGGGTGGACTCGGCCGTATTATGTCTAAATACTTCTCTGTAGTTATCCTCGACGCCATATCTACCACGGCATGCATTTATATGGCATCGGATTATGCTCATGAGGAAATCTCTGTGTTCGTTGAACTTGAGAGATTTGATCAGAGTGTCTAGCTCAGGTTCGTTTCTTGCTGGCAACAAATCCCATTTCCCCCCTGCACAGAATCCCAAGATTGAGTGCATCCAAAAAGTCCTGTGGTTATACTGCCCAAAAATGTAGCAGCACACTGTGTGGATGATAAACCAATGGCCAATGATAAACCGATGATAAACCAATGGTTACTGGTGTAGCTGGAACCAATATGAAAGTTTGCCTTGTTTTTTTCCTCATCAAGCCAACGCATCTATTTATTGCCTAAAATATCGCACAAAATTGGCCAATTGGTTGAGTAATATCACTCAGATCGTAGCTAAAATTATTCTAAAACGAAGCACAAGAGAATGAAAGAATAAATCATATTCGTTTTTGGAAAAACAGCGAAATTGAAATAAACAGCTACATACCAAAAAATCTTTTTCAGCAAGCTCCGCCAATACAGAAGGCACTTGCAGGGTGACATCCGCAATTTCGATTGAACTCATTCCAGCAAATGCTCGTTTCTTCGAATAGTCGAATTTCAAATTATCAACACGAAACTTTTCTCCGGCGCGCAACATAGTCATTCCTAGCTAAAATCACAAAATAGAATACGGTGTATAAATAGAATACAGTAAATTAAATACCGATAAAAATAAGAATCAGTTGCATCCGGAAATGCATTATTTTTTTTCAGGATATCAGATGAGATCGATGATCATACAGAATATAAGGATAGTTGGATGTGATTAATTAGTAGATTAGCTACACATTTGATTAGTTACTAGATAATTTCACCTGTATTACACCGTTGATGCATGGAGCAAACCTCAAGGAAATGTCACTTTCTGGCAACTCAAAATCATCAAGGTGACTCAAAATATCTTCCGGCGGTTTTCCCTCCTTGTTTGTTTTTTGGCCTCTGAGGGTTTTTATTCGGGTCTAAATTTCTCAGCATCCGTAATTATGAATTTTATGAAATCGTCTGGCAGTGATTCTCAGGCGACTCGTTTCCTTGACTCGCCTTGTGACTCGTTTCTCAACTCGGAATACCTAACGTATAAATTGCCACTGCATGATGGTCCATTCCCCGCAGTATCCTGAGGTTTGTCGACCAAACGAACTGTGCACTGGGACACGAAAAGGTCGTTGATGATGACAATCTATTTTTTGACACTCCCAGCATGTTCAAAAGAGACCACCGAGTCCCTGTGCAGCCGTCTGGGGTTGAACGATATTTTATCTTTTCTCGAATTCTTCCTTCTGCTGATGACACAAGTATCAATGTGTTCGTGAAATTTTCTTATATTCCATACTGTTGCGTTTTCTTTTATATCTTCTGGGACACCAAAGATGGCACTTCCCGGCCAATCAGACCATTTAATGTTTACGCACCAATCGCTGATTAATGATAAAATTACGGCACTTTCCCAGATGGAAGTGACAGCATCAAGGACTTGTACTTTTTCCTTTACCCGAAAAGTTCTACTTAGCATGATGACAAGGATGAAAGACTCTAATATATGACTGAGCTGAGAAGCGATTGAATGATTGAAATGAAATTAGCCTTGGTTCAAGAATTGACTAATGACAGTTTTCCCTGATAATGACGGCTTTACTGATAAGAACTGCACTGTCTAGTTTCACTTATCAGTTCATTATCAATAAGCCGTCTTATCTTTAGGCAGTAATTATTGCATAGATGCTACTGCCATCTGGTGTGATAAAAAGAGTGGAAAGTGTCGAAGCTATTCCTTGGCGGACTCTTCTCTTGATATCCTGGTGTTTCGATTAAATAGGTGCTGATAAGCCATGGGAGCTTTGCCGCTAAATTGCAGTCAGTTCATCCTCAACTTGTGCTCTATATTAGTTGCATCTCACATTTTCCATCGCAATGAAGTAAAACTTACGGACTCAAAGTAAATGTCCAACGCCGAAAGCTCATGTTCAGTGCCTTCCAGTTCTCCATCACCATTTGCAGTGCCTTCTAACATCCCTGTGCCTCCATCACCTTTCGCAGCACCAGAGGCGACATCACTTGCTCCTCCGACACCGGTTACCTCTTTGCGAGCACCCCCGCGACCTTTCGCCTCGCCATTTCCGCCGACATATGGGTAACCACATACCCCTCTGCGACTTGTCCATTCAGGCCCCTCGATGGTACATCAGCGCCAGCCTCAGCAGTATTAACCATATCCAGCCTACCTGGATTCCTACATGTCGGCATCACCGTATCCGAATTCTCCATGGCCATCGGCTTTTCCCCACTATCGAGAAGTTGAAAGACAATCGCATGACCATGAGAGGCGAACCTACACTCCCACGAAACCACGAGCCCCATGATCCCACGAAATTACAAGACCACATGAACGACGAGCCCACAGAAAGCCGCAAAAAGGATCATGCAGAGCCACATAATGTAGGCGAAACTGTAAGTTGAAGAAATAATTTCACATTACACAAGCCTAAAGGTTTTGGTAAACCAAATATTGAAACTAAATCATATTCAACTTTAGCAACCTGGAAAAGCCTCCCGAGCCGAAAACCCGATAATAAACGAGACTCTCAAAGAAGTCATTTTACAGAATGTCTAGAAGTCGAATGACTGCGCCGATAAAAGAAACGGAACCTTGACCCACAAAGAACAATTGACCTTGTTCAGGGCCATTGTCACGTTTCTGTTCACGTGCACAGGGATGCTCGAGAAAATGATCATCAACACCACGGTACACGCTGTCGTCCAGGTGATTGTCAAGATAGAGGAAAAAATGGAGACGATACCGTGGAGCTTGAATTAGCATTAAAAAATTATCGAACAAAACTGAAAAATCAAATTGGCCGTTTTCAATCAAATGTTTAAAATCCAGAAGGGTATATCCACGAGTTTAGTTAAGTAATGGTTTAAGATTTGTTTGTGGATTCCACAGACAATGGTTAAGTGTTTGTTCGTAATTTCCGCATTTGTTGTTCTAGCTAGCCATTGTTCAAGCTGGTTAGTGCTGGATATCTCACTTACAATCTGCGGAATCCGCTAACAGTTTGTGGAATCAATAAAAACAAACTGTCGCGCTCTAAGACAAAATTATCAGTAAATATTACGTGAGATCAAACAAAATCATTGTTGCCCGAAAATGGTACAAGGCGATTGATCGACGCTTCAAATTGATCGACTAAGAATTTGAGAGAATAAAATGATTAAGAATGAATTACGAAAGTCTTAATCTAAAGCAAACCTAAAAAGTGAATGATCGACCGATGGTCGATTTGAAACATACTTAGCACGTATCTAATTAGTGCTAAATTAGGCAAAATTAAGTCTACAAACTCTATAAATTGTAAAAAAAAGAAATTGGAAAATAGAGTTTTAATGAGTTCAATGAGTTTTAAATGTTTTTGGCGTCAAATTCTTTTAAAGCTTGTTGTACGTCCTGATCTATTGTCGACGATATTTCGCTCCCGGAATCTTGCCCTGCGACTATGATGGGTGATTTCCCGGCGGGAGACTTCCGCGATGTCTGAAGGTACCCCGATTTCGCGAGGAGAATGAGGAAATCAGAAGGTGACCAGCACAAGAAAGCAGGCGGGCTGATTGTAGATCTGCGCTGGGTGGCAACAGGATGCGTTTCCTCTGGTGTGCTGTCCAGCAATAATCGCTAGAGCGGATCCGAAGGATGATGGTCCAGGAAGACTGCTGTCTTGAGAAGATTTCTGAGGGGAATCCGGAATGACGATAACTTCTGCCGACGAACTTGTGGTCGTTTGTATGAGCGTCGGGTTTCCGCCAGTCAACTCCCCGCTGGTCGTCTTTTTCTGAGGGTTGGCTCTGGTTGACTTCTGGGGAGGCGATGATTTCTTCTTTCCGGCTAAAATATGTCCATTTTCAAAAGTGACCGTGTGGTTCAAAGAATCAACAACCGCCTCTTTAAATGGATTAAAATACGATTCTCCAATACATTAAAAAAGGTTACCTCCAGCAGTGGCCAATTTCGCTAGAGTAGGCCGTTTCCGATTAGAGATTGGGATTGGGGTTGCTCGACTTCCATGGGTAATCTTCGCTAGTGGGATGATATTGTGTAAGATTCCAACAAAAACTTTTCAAAAATTTTTGCTTAAACACATTTTTGAAGTTAATGTGGTAATAACTGGTTCTTCAAGCACGTGTTAAAGCTCTGAGTTTGAGCAACTAGGATTTAAAGGGCTGGGGATATGAAGACTGAGATTTTCCCTGACGTTTTAATTGAGGATTGAGAACAGGTTGTGATTGTTGGAGAATGAGTTCAGAAAATGACAAGGAATGACAGCAGACTAAGTATCACAAAAAAACCAGTTAATAATTACTGACTAATTAAATAGTTTGTGATCACTAGCTTATCTTGTCTGAATTTGATCAATCTTAACAAATTGATTTCCGCCAGATTAATTGCTTTAAATAATCTGCCTGACCATGGAGTAGTCTGACCTCAACACAGGTTAGTGCTACCTTGAAAAATTGGTTAAAATTTCAAAAAAAAATTGGGAAAATTTTGGAATCGATTTTTTTTTGAGATAGCGGTGATCATAAATTTCTCGTGCTATTTATACAGCAGCCTGTTAAACTGAGTGTGTTTCTATATGTTTTTGATTAGTTTGACCAGAGATTCCGGTAAACTGAACTTTTACTGAGCGGGCATCGGATCTTTGCGTCATCTCAGCGTGTTTCGGCAGCTTTGCGCAATTGTAAACTCAATTTGAAACATTTTCAGCAAAATTGAATTTCAGGATTCTACAAATGGTAATTTAAACGATAATAAAGGAACCTGAAGTTAAAATGCGCAAGTAGTGAAAAGTACAACAATGCTAGAGATAAAATCACGTGATATAGATAGATAACATAGGATATGAAGTTGTAAGGAGCACTTCGCTAAAAGCAGTCTGTCATGATTACTTTTCTTCTAAAAGCACTTTCGGTCAGACAAAAATTTCATCAAGTTTTTGCGTTATGCGATTGTTCACGCCACAAAACAGGTGTGCATCTTTGTACAAAGTATAAGCAGCCGAATCAGAACTCACCTAGTTACAGAATAAAATTTGATCCGACTTTGCGACGATTTTCAAGGTTCCAAAATAGGAGAGCTGTCTTCACTTCTTTTCGAAACATGGTGCGAGTTGTTGCTTGGAAGAGTGTAATGCGTATATAATCCTACTAAAGAATCGATCGAATAATAGAGAAATCCAAGATAGAATAGTCCAATGAGCACCGCAGTTTTAACTCGGCTTGCGAAACTTCCGACATTAATTACAATAGCAAGACCCAGTAAAACATAGAAAAAAGTGATTAAGACGAACTTCAAATGAGCGCTGTGTAGATATTGGCGGTGATTTGATTGTCTAAGTGTGTGTCTCCTCCCCCCAGAGTTAGAAACAGGGGGACATTCGCGGGTGGCTCCCCCGTGCATGGACCCATAACAGCCATAATGGCAAAACCAAAACGTGAACTCAAAAATATGAGCAATCAAAACTGTAAACGAAAAGGTGAACATTAGCCATCCTACTAAAGGCCGAACGTGCATTGGAACCATGTAAATCGAAATGGGGACGCACATTAAAACAGAAATAAATGTCAGCATTTTGCAGAAGCGAAAATAAATTGGGAAAACATAAACGGTCATTGAGAAGACGTTTTTACAGACGCACATGATAGTTCCGCTACTGCAGCGCAAGGGTTCGCTGGAGGACAATGAGAGTAAGGAATGGACAGTGGATGCTAGATGTCTGTGAAAAGATTGGAAAGTTGTGACTCGAATTACGAAGAGGAAGAGCACCGCGTAGAAAGGCAAGTAGCGAAAGAATGACGTGAACATTTCCTTGGTGGGGTCTCGTAGCTGGAACCGGATGTCCTGCCACTCATGGTTGAGGTCGAATAGAGGGTAGCTGAGCCACTGCCAGGGTCGGATGGGTCCAAAGGTGTAGTGGAGAAATCGGAAGTCCTTTCTGGGAATCAGCCAGGAACTCCGGAGGTAATACATCCCTAAAAAACACAACAAGTAACCTCCCATATGACGTCTATATAAAACTAAATTTATTTCAAACAAAAGTACTAAAAATTCGAACTTTATTTTTGAAAAATTGTTAGAAAATAAAAACAAGTGAAACTTTTTTTGAGCGTCCTTGACTTCTTCAAAAGCTTAAGAATGGAGAACGTTAGAAACCTGTGAGACTTTCAGACCTGCACTTCAATGATGCTAGTTATGAGTGTTGCTAGTTATGACAGGTAAGAAAACGATCCATTTCCAAAAAAACTATCCAATTTTTCCCAATTCGCCATGCCTCAAACGTAACTTTTCAATCAAGAACTTTTCAAATAGGCTTTACGCCTTCAAGGAGCGCCGCTTTAACAACTGCCCTCCAAATGATAATTTTTAACTCCATTCTAGTGCAGATGATATTGAGACGCTCCAATTATTTTTCATCATAGCTGTTGGCACAATACCTGCGTCCATGTTGTACTCGAATGGGAGTTGTGCGTATGTGGGGGGTTTGTAGTTGGGGTCTGTCTTGTTGTAGGAGAGGGCGAGGGTAATGGGGCTGAAGTAGACGTTGAGGATGTCCTGGTCTCCCCCCTTGTGACTGTGGTCCAGGGGGTCCCAGGTCTCCAGCATCTTGATGATGTTGTGGAAGTGAGTCTGGCTAGGAGTTAACACCATCACTCCTGGAACCAATTTGAATTGATTCAGATGAAACATTACATCTGAGAATCATTGGGAATCCTTATTCTATTATATACAGGGCGGATTCGACACCCTGCCGACCCAAAGGTTCACCCCTTTGAACTTTTTTGCATATCCATTTTTTTGGTGACGGACTTTTTTTGGCCTGAAACAGGGTCTTTTTAAAGCTTTGGGAGAGCTCGGAAAAATCATTTTGGTCGACCTAAAAAATCCTCAAAATTTTCGAAAATTTTTCAAAAATCCACCCCCTCGAGAAAATCCTAGATCAGCCCCTGATTATATACTAGCTTTGATTACTAGCTTTGCCGAACTTCTCAAACCAAAAATTGCTCCCAAAAAACGGGTTTTCCACCTTTTTTTTTAATTTTCGACAATACCGCGAGAGGCTTCGAAAAATTTCTCAGCTGACAAATTATTCACCCGAGTTGAATATGTTGCTGTGTCGCATGGTGGCACAGTAGCTGCCACAGTTGAAGATGTCATCTGCCCCCTCGTACCCGATCACATCTGTGTCTATCAGCACTATCTGCACACAAACACACACCACTCACTTATTTTATTCATCCACAAATTGTTCATCCGAGCAACTCGAGACTTGACTTCAGTTTGACTTTCAGTATGACTTCTTACGCATTCTCAAGTCGGAAAAGTCGATTCAGTATCCATGCATGTTTATTTGAGTATAAGTTAGGCTTCTCGACGCCAAAATAGTTCAACGCACAATTTTTTTGGTACCAACTAGAAAACATTTGAAATAAATAACTATTTGGTGTGTATAGGGCGCACCTTTGTTCGCGTAACGGTTAAGTGTTTCTCCGAAAAAAGAAAGCACTATGTTAAGAACGAAGGGAGCGGGTACGTGTTTCTCAGAGGGGGGAGGGGGTATGTTACCTTTTTGTATTGGGTGAGTGTGAGTACTAGTAGTTTAGCCACGTGTCCCTTGTAGGGTCCCTCGTAGTTGATGTCGTCCGGGTTCACAGGGTAGATGGTCCAGCCCTCTCTGGCCAACAGGAACCTCACCTCATTCGACACGTCTGGCAGACACAAGGCGACCTGAACAAACAAAACACCACATTCAATTCCAGCTCAGCGGTTACATAGCAGTATTTAGACAACCGGTTACATAGCAGTATTTAGACAAATACTGTTTCAACCAATCAGAATCGAGATTCTAGATCAGCCCCTGTTTTACCCGAAACGAAAAAAAAACAACAACGAAGCATTGTAAATATCCGAAATTCTCAGCTCACTGCGGCTAGCCGCTGTTGCTTCCCTTGACACACATGTAACTTCTTGGTTTTTCTGGGCTTGCGGCTTAGAAAAGCCCAACTCAGGAACCAAGCACGCATCATAGCAGATCTCGAGTAGCATCAACTAATGGATTTAGAAGCACTGGAAACTATTTTTTTCCATGCAGGGGAGCCAGAAATATAAAGTAAGATTTTCGTTGCAGTCAATTTTCGAAAAAAGGGGTTGAAACTTAGTTGACCACGAATGTATTTTCTCGACGGTTTTTGACTTCAAGACAACTCATGCCGATACACGGAAAATGATGCCCTACCGAAACTTAATTCCAAGAATCGATACAAAATTTTAGAATTAAACAGGAAACCTTTAAAAAAGTGTTCAGCTCTGCGCATGGAAAACATAAGCAAAAATGGCAATTTTAGCAGAGAAAACATCCCTGCTTGGGCGGAAATGGGAATCAATTTATCGCTTCAATAAACACATGAACATCCCAATAATTATTCCACCCTAAAATTTAACGTCTAATGTTGGCAGAAAGCTTGTGTTTCTGTTTCAATGGAAATTAAAAATGATGGATGATTAGAGAGAATAAGAATCATTAGAAATATTCGATTATTGATCTTAAACTAATTATGGGAACATTCCCCCTCCCCCCGAAAACGCCTGCCACAGGAAATCAACAATCAAAATACTGCTAGTTAACACTTTAAAAGTAATATTTATCGAACAAAAAATCAAAAAATCACCGAAAGCATATTGAGTTTTGCCTAATTACAACAAGAATAAACAAAAAATTTACATGAAAACGTTGAAGAACAATTTTGGAGCTTGATAATTTTGGAAGCAAAATCTATCTAACGGAATACTTTTCTATTCAGGACAAAGACTGTGTCACCTAGCATACCAGCCGCTTAGCTTACAATTTTTAGTTACAATCATATTTTTTCAAGTATTTTTTTTTAATTTTCTTGCGACATGTTAATCTTTCGAAGTAATTCACAAGCAGTTTTTACGATGTTTTTTTCACCTTTTAGTAATTCGAATCATCGAAATATTATGAATCTTTTTTGCAAGACATCCAAAAAAATTGTTGGGCTGAGTGTAGCTTGAAATGCAGCAAAGGCTGTATTTCAATTTGGTTAAATTGCTTATTTACATTTTTTCACTCCTTTGGAACAAAGAACTCAAATCAATTTGAGTATGGTAAGCTGAACGTTTTGATTAACATTTTGAGTATGCATTGCGACCGGTATGCTAATTGGGCCATTCCCTCAGAATATTCTTCGCAGCAGAAAAACCAAGTTGTTTTAAAGCAAAAAAAAATTATGCACAAAACCTAAAAGCTAATTTGCAAGACGAGCAAAAAAAACTTTGTAAGAAACGAAAAACATTTCGCAGTAAACATCGAGAAAGTTTTATCAATTTTTTGTAGTTTTTTTTTGAAGTGGGTTCATCGCATTTAGCGTTCAGAAAACAAACAAGCTATAAGAAGACAAACTAGATGTAAGTAGCAGCCTAGCAGAACGGTAGGCCAGCAAGCAGACGACTTTTTAACTTTGTCAAGCTGATTTTTTTAAGAAAAAAAATTCGATAACCCATTCGATTTGAAGAAATTTAGTTAGAAATTTACTGAGGAAAAAATAAACAAAACTTGGTTCTGTTTATTTTTTTCCTCAAAGTATTTTTAAGTTTACCGAAGACAGCCGTTGAGCATGAAACTGTTTCATTCTGCACGTGAAAACAACAATTTTGAAGACAATTGGAAGTGTTTGACCATACAGAAGTTGCAACAGTAAAACTATTGTGCTATTGAAAACTTACTTCAGACTAGGGTTTTAATGGAATTTTTCAAACTAACTATACCAGTAAATACACAAGACTCCAAATTGATTATATCAAAAAACAATTTTTAGGTTAAATTATCTGCAAGATAAAAAAATTTTGGAAAAAATGATGAGTGAAGCTTCGAATCATATCATGAAATTTGGACAATTTTGAGAGTCACGCAAAATTGTATGGAACTCAAACCGCTGTCATCTTACAAATCGCAAAAAAAACTGATTGGATATTAAGCTGCGGAATATACTATGATGATAGTCACTGCACTTAACTTAATTTTTCCGTTATCAGGTTGTCTAGTTGCCATAATTTGTTTCTCCAGCATTTGTAGGGTTTTCTTAGCAACTTTAAATAAATACCTCATAACTTCGCCTTTTTTAGCCAATCAGTTTTACGTATTTTTGTTCCCACTTTCGATACGAAAGTAACGGAATATTTGTGCTCGGGGTGGGTTTTTTTTTTCTTCAGACAAGTTTCGACTTTTTAACAAGCCATTTTTGACGAAATTTTTATTATATATATCATTCAAAAGGTATGCTTGTCTTGAGCTTAAATTTGAAAAGATATTTCACCTGTGATCATTTTTCGTAAAGTTATGAGGGTTTAAAGATTGCCATTTTGGTCATTTTGACCAATTTGGGACAATTAACGCGCAATATAATTCGCGCTATTAACGCGTAAGCGAGATTTAATCCGTCTTATAAATCGTTCCAAATTGGTTAAACGAAGCTTATTTGCCATAATTGATTTGTTACAAGGAACGAAACTATCTTTGTGTACTTTATTTGGCGTGTGGGGTGATGATTTTCATAAAAAATTTCATATTTTAGAAAAAAAAAATTCATTTTATTTTATTTCATTTAATTTTTTTTAATGTATTACTGCTGCTCAATAAACCTTAAAAGGCAGTCGGAACATTCAGGGCTTCGCCCTGATACGAGCAGTCTTGTTAAATTTTATGCTTGTTGGCCAATGAACGTTCTCTGGTTCTTGGCAGCGTAAAAATTAATTGATAGCAGCATTAATGTTAAAATTCCACTTCAAGGGGAAATTCTTTATGCCAGTACGCTCGAATGAGAAAAACTGATTTGAAGCTATCAAAAATGAGCAGTCAAATTGCAAAAAAAATCCAAAATAACTGTCATTGAATGACAAGGAGACGGGTTCGATGGAAACAGTGAACTTGATAACGAGCAAAACAAACAGAATGAAGGCGTTTTGGCGGGTAATTGAACAAATTAGGCAGTACGCGAATAATTTGTACACACCTTGCTTGCCCTCAAACTGAACAAAAAAAAGAATTTTCGCTGTAATAAGTAGTGATTCAAAATGCGGCTCATAATTGTATTCTACTTGGATGTCTTGCTTCTGCTTTGTTTGCTTTACTGTCTCTCATAACTGCCTATTAAATTCACTGTCTGAATCAGATTCATCTCCTTGTCATTCACATTACTACCAAATAAATTAATTCAGAAACAAAAGGCAAAAGGACAAGACATTAAGCAAGAAAAGACAACAAATCAAAGAGAAAGACATGACAGAAAACAAATCTTTGCTGGACTGGCTAATTTGACATTTTAATTCCAACTATTTTCGAAAAAAAAAACGGATCATTTGTGCTCTGGGCAGTTTTTTTTTCAACACAAGGTTCGATTTTTCAACTAGCATTTTTAAACTAAGTTTTTCATTATCATTTAAATAGTATTGTTGTCCAGAGATCAACGTTAAAAGATATTTCACCTCTGATTTTTTTTTTGTAAAATTATGAGGGTTTGAAGAATACCAATTTGGCAAAATTGGGACAACTAACGCGCGATATATTCCATGTTGCTAACGCGTAAGAGGAGATTTAACTAGTGGGGGGTCGATTTTCAAAAAAAAATCAAAAAGGCTTTTTTTTTCATTTTGTTAAAAGTCAACCATTTCTAAAAACTAACACTACGCCATCTACCTTAAAAAGCAGTCAAAACAATCAGAACCTCGCCCTGATATGAGCAGTCTTTGTAGAGTTTAATCGTTAAAAGTACCGCATATTCATTTTCTTTGTTCAACTTTTTTTATTGCTATCAAAGTAATCAAGTAGATTGAAAAAGACAACACCAGAGAAAGCGGCTCTTTTTCCTTCCTTTCCCCCCACCTGCAAATTTTTATATTTGAAGTTACAGTTCACTTGGTTCGATTGTCATGAAAATTGACATGCAGACTACTTGAGGCCATGGCAAACATATTTGGTCTTCATATAAAACCACTCGTTAGATCATAAAATTCATGTTTGAGTTTGGAAGCCGAGAAAGCAAAATAATAATTAGTAAAGAGACAAAATTAGTTCAGCATAAAGTCAGCTAGACCCCCCCCCCCCTCCCCCTCACTCCAGTACAAATTGCGAGCTCTCAAGAATCAAGCCAGTTGAATTCACTCACCACCCTATCAGAGCTCGGTTTAATTTTTTCTTTCTTTCTTTCTCCTTCTCTCTCTCATACACACTCTCTCCTCTCTCATCCCTGCCACAGTCAATTTTCTGTTCTTGCCTGGTTTTTTCCACCTACACCGCGCAGCACGCACTCACTCAAGCTAAGATGGCGACATTGTTAGAAAAACTTGGGTTGAGAAATGAACCCAAAGCTATACAGGACCAAAGAGAAAAAAGGCACAGTTCAGCAATCTCCTTGAACTTTCGATACCCCTCCTAGAAACTTGGAATTCAGCACACAATTGAGCAAAAACCAAGAAAATATAAAATGACTAAAAATGCACAAGCAATTGATACAAAATGGCTTTTATGATGCGGATTGGATAGCAATTTCTAAGTCTTTGATGTAAATAAGTAAACTTATCTAGGTGTCGCTTGGCAAGTTTCAAGTTGCACTTGCTTGTAAGATCTTTTAGTGTTTTGGGGGAGCTCACAAAATCCCCCATCGTTTTGAAAGAGAAAAAAAAGGTCGACAAAATTTTCAAAAAATAACTGAAAAAAAAAATCTTTGTAAAAATTCTATATTGTATAGAGTCTGGTATTGTAAGCAATTTTTAAAAACTCCAACACAAAAATTAGTTCAAAACTTTGGTTCATCAATTGAAAAATCAGCTGAACACTTAGAAACGCCTACTTTTGTGATTTATTTGAGCAAGGAAAAGAAGATTACTTTTTCATTGTTTTAGAAAAAAATTTAAACCACACGACCTACATAAGTGGAAACTCTCTTTGTACAACAAAACATTTATTACTCTATTTTGCAGCCTTTAAATTGTCCGTAACTTCGCTAAGAAAGCAATACCAGGTGAAAATTAAGTAATAGAAATATAGAAAGACTCAAGCCAAGTGTCGTTCGGAAAATTATCATGAAAAACGCTTAAGTTCTCTTAAATCATGTGTCTTTGTGCAGTAATAGTAACTATTGTCTTTGTCAAAAAATGTTCAGTTTCTATACTGCCTGTAAACCTAGAATAGTATTTGTTATTGTATATCAAATTTCAGGAAATTCAGTGTTCTTGTTTTTGAACAACCTCTCCCCTTAATGGGCCAAGTGAACATCAAGTTGAAACGCCTGCGGGAACTATGTTTAAATTTGATTGGCTGGAAATTTTTTTTTAGCTAAGTGAGCAATCTCCCTCCTAAATTGTATATTGGGGTAGATTGTTCACTTGGTCTACAAAAACTATTATACGCAAATACGTTTTACAGAACGGAGTCTGATTTTAAATCAAACAAGACTGCTCGTATCAGGGCGAAGCCCTGAATGTTCCGACTGCCTTTTAAGGTTTTATGGAGCAGTAATAACATTAAAAAATTAAATGTAATAAAACAAAACAAAAATTTTTTAATTTGAAATTTTTTATGAAAATCATCCCCCCACACGCCATTTAAAGTACAAAAAGATAGATTTAGCTCCTTGTAACAAATCAATTATGGCAATTAATCTTCTTTCCACCAATTTGGAACGATTTTACGACGGATTAACTCTCCGCTTACGCGTTAATAGCGCGAAATATATCGCGCGTTAATTGTCCCAAATTGGCCAAAATGGCAATCTTTAAACCCCCATAACTTTACGAAAAATGATCACAGGTGAAATATCTTTTCAAATTTGAGCTCAGGACAACAATACCTTTTGAATGATAAAAAAAAATTCCGTCAAAAATGGCTAGTTAAAAAGTCGAAATTTGTCTGAAGAAAAAAAAACCCACCCCGAGCACAAATATTCCGTTACTTTCGTATCGAAAGTCGGAACAACAAGACTGCTCGTATATCAGGGCACAGCCCTGATTGTTCCGACTGCACTTACCGGACAATTGATAATGTTTTTTTTGGTTGAATAATTGACAAATAATTGAGAAAACAATTTTCTTAATTTTATTTTATCCCCCACTCGCTATGTAAAACAAGTAAGGGTGGGTTTAGCGTCTCATATTGTTATAATAAGATTAAGTTTCTGGTCTTAATTTTGGAACGCCCAAATTCGCGGTTCACGCGTGTTAAGTACGCAATATATTGCACTTTCATTATTGGCCAAACTTGCAATTTATAAACGCCCGTAATTTTACAAAAAAAGGATCACAGCGAAAATATCTTTTTAAATTTGAGTTAAGGAAATCAATATCTCTCAAATGGTAAAAAAGTTCTGTCAGAAACGCTTACTTAACAAGTCGAAAAATAACTGAATAAAAAACCACACCAAGCATGAATATTCCGCACTTTCTTCGAAAGTCGGAACAAAAACTACACCAAGCAAAAATGTGCCGAACTTTCTTCGAAAGTCGGAACAAAAAAAGCTTTGAAACAAGTATAAAGCTGATCTGGAACAAATAAAATAGCTGATCTTTGCTTAGACGCTATCTTAGTACTACTTCACGAAAAAATGTAGACTGGCTCAGCTTCTACTTTCTCAAGTATGACCCTTCAATCTACCAGGACTCAAAAAACGGCTGTTAAAACTCAGGGGGACGCAGGTTGAAATAAGATACCATAAGAAGAACGTTTTAAAGTGGCAAACTATTCATGACTTACAAAATGCAGTATAAACTGGAATCAGTGACACAAGTCAGGAAGAAATCCTTTTAGCGCTGGGCACTGTAAATTCCAATCAACAACAAGGATATCCCCCCCACCACTCAAAAATTCGACCCCCTGCCGACCCAATGGGTCCCCCCCCCCTTTGTACTATTTTGAGATATACATTTTTGGTGACAGACCCTAACATTTTTCTAAAGGCGCTCTTGGCGCCAATATATACTAAATTTGAGGGGGAGCTCGCGCCGAAAAAACGCGACTCTTTGGTCAACAATTGGCTCTTTTCCAGTTCCCCCCTTTCAAAATACCGAGTTTTATGTTTGTTTTACGTGTTATTACGGCTAAAAGCGTGATGTTACGCTGTAAAGTATGCAGAACAAATCTGTTCACAGTTGTCGATTTGTTCACCACGCCAAATTTCATTGCATTATGATAACGTTAATTAAGCTTTTTGAAATTGAATTTGAAAGGGGGGAAACTGGAAAAGAGCCCAACAATTTTCCAAAAATAGCCTAAAAGCGCCTTTTTGGCCTGTTTTTTTTTAAATTTTGCCTGCGGCGCAGAAAATTTGGTCAAAATGGGGTTTTTATAGTGATTTTGCAGAGCTCAGAAAATCAATTTGGTCGACCTAACAAAAGTCGAAAATATTTTCGAAATTTTTTGAAAATCAACCCCCTCGAGAAAATCCTAAATCCGCCCCTGGTTCCGACCATATACATAAAAGACTACAAAAAGATTGTCTCTTTTTTTCTTCAAATTACTGTAGTTTTTGTACCTGGTGCGATAAAAACTATACAAACGCATAAAAAAATTAATTAATTAGGCATAATCGACAAAAGTCGTCTGAAAAAATTAAAATCAAACAGAAACTTTTTGAAAATAAATAAAAAAAGCTAGCACAAAACTTAAAAATTTTCCAAAAAAGCAAAAGTTTTGTGCTAACTTTTTGATTTTTAAAAAATTTTTGTTTGATTTTAACTTTTTCAGACAACTGTTGTCGATTATGCCTAATTAATTAATTTTTTTAAGCGTTTGTATGGTTTTTATCGCACCAGGTACAAAAACTACACTAATTTGAAGAAAAAAAGAGACGACCTTTTTTGTAGTCTTTTATGTATATGGTCGGAACCAGGGGCGGATGTAGGATTTTCTCTCGGGGGGGGGGGGGGGGCGGATTTTCGAGAAATTGATTTCGATAATCGAAAGGCAGTTTTGAAAGCTTCCTTTAGCGCTCATTGACATTAAAAGTTTTTTCTAAAAAAGCAAAAATGTCAATGAGCGCTAAAGGAAGTTTCCAAAACTGCTTTTCGTTTATCTACTGCTTTTCGTTTATCTACGTTTATCCAAAACTGCTTTTCGTTACTAAAATTCATACAAGATAGCTCGTATCAGGGCAAAACCCTGAATGTTCCGACTGCCTTTTAAGGTTTATGGAGCATTATTAACATTAAAAAATTCAATGAAATAAAACAAAATGAAAATTTTTTTTCTCTAAAATTTGAAAATTTTAATGAAAATCATCCCCCCACACGCCATTTAAAGTACAAAAGGATAGATTTTGCTCCTTGTAACAAACCAATTATGGCAAATAAGCTTCTTGTCACCAATTTGGAACGATTTCTAAGACGGATTAAATCTCCGCTTGCGCGTTAATAGCGCGAAATATATCACGCGTTAATTGTCCAAAATTGGCCAAAATGGCAATCTTTAAACCCCCGTTACTTTACGAAAAATGATTACAGGTGAAATATCTTTTCAAGTTTGAGCTCAGGACAACAATACCTTTCGAATGATATAAAAAAGTTCCGTCAAAAATGGCTAGTTAAAAAGTCGAAATTTGTCTGAAGAAAAAAACCCACCGCGAGCACAAATATTCCGTTACTTTCGTACCAAAGTCGGAACAATAACGAACGTACTCGATAGCTTTACTTGAAAGAAATTAACAAAATCTCAAAAACTTCAAACCGTTTTTTTTCGATACCGGGAAAGTTTACAATGTCGTTCATATTACAACTAAAAGAACTTTGATATGATGTATCACTCTACGTAATCCGGTTAAAATTTATGGCACCTAATATCAAACAAAAACTTTTTAAAAATAAAAAAAAAGTTAGCACATAATATAAAACATAAATAGCATATAAACAGAAGTTAGCATAAAAAAAATACTAAAACACCCAATATACAAGTTCCTCCTCAATTTCAAAAAATCGGAACAAACGACAACACTTAATTTGATGACACACTGATTATGTTCATTGTAGAGCAACTTTCAAGTCCTACAGTAGATTGGCGTAACAGATTAGAATTGAATGGACCAAAATGAACTGCAGATTGAATGGGATGGGTTTTTGGACCAAAATTTGTCAAATTCTTATCGATCAAATTCTTTCAAGTTTTTATATTAAGAAACTTGGATGAAACCTAACCATTTCGCGAGTGGATCCCCGTTGCCTGAGTGACTGACCGAGGACTCGGAGGCCCAGCAAGAACCCCTCGTCTTCTCCATAGAACAAAGCAGCATAGGCCTCCCTCTTTGAAGTAGCGACTTCCTCATGTTTTTGATTAATAACTATATCATCCACAGTGAAAACATACGAGTAAAGGTGTGAAAAAATCAACAAATAATTGATTAAAAAATACGTAATGGAAATCATTATCATCTACTTTAGTGATAGCTTCATAATTAAGCAAAAAATAACCAAGTTAGAATCAAGGAAAAATGAAGCTACTTTGCTCAAATTTGCCTAAAGCAAATTTTAAGATAAGAAATGAGAACAAATTAGCTGAATAAGTTGTGAACGGCAGTTAAGGCAACTCAAATAATGAAAATGGCACGGCAAGTTATCAAAGAGTTTGCTATTGCTGCCAGGTTAAGTAAACTTTTGATTATTTTCATACGGCATTTTAATCACGAAGTTACAAAGAATGTTTCAAGTTGAAACTTGTTGTGCAAATATCCTTCTGGTAACGAAATGAAAAATCTTGTAAACTGTTCGCAAAAAACTTGAGTCTTCTCGACTAAATTGTTTATTCAATTTGATAAATACCTCCCCATTTTCCTAGTGCGTTTATCCAGAAAATAATCCAAAAATTTTGACGATTGCCAAAACTTTTTTACGACTATTTTTTGCGGCAGAAGTTCTTCGCTGTTTGAGATAAACTTCTGCCTTGAATTTGAGACAAACTGAAATTATTTTAGGAGGTCATCAACATTGACTAAAGATGATTCGCACTAATTGTTGTTCAAATAAGCACAATGTTTGAAACAAGTTCAGAACGAACAAAGATAAATTGAGTTTTGATGTCTAAGGCAAAAGTCTGTTTGTCATATTTGGTATGTTTTGTTAGCTAAGTGAGCCAGAGAAATTAATCCTGTATGGTAAACTTTTGTTGGTTTCTGTCTCAGTAAAATAAAAATGGTTTAAAATGATCTCATTAAAGTGAAAAATAAAAATTGTGCCAAACGGTGCGAAATAAATGAGTAATTTCATGAACACATTCTGGTTGAATTAAATTTTCAATTGACAATTCAGCCAGAAAAACCACAGTTTAAGAGTGTCTATTTTTTTCGCCGTTTGAACGTGCATATTAGACTCAAAGATATTTGCTCTGTATGCAAGGATTTTAAAAGCATAAACCATACCGAATGAAAACTAACGCATTTTTCACCAACAAGACTATAACATAACCATCAGTGTATGTTTTTCAATTCATCATTTGCAAATGAAAGCAAAAACTAAGCGTAAAATGCTCAAAAAAACCGGAGCCTTTTTAGAGTGGGATTTGTCAATTGGAATCAATTGTTTTTTTACGCGTTTTAAGCAAAAAAGACAAAAAATAATAATCTCTCTTTGTTTTCTAGTAAATAATATTGCCTGCATAAACGTAAACTGTTTCTTCGGACCTAGTGTCGTTTGCATATTAAGTTCTGTTTTTTTTTGGTGGCGTATAAGTATGTTAATGCGTAGCGAGGAGAGGAAATCAAGCCGTATACTTAAAATTGAAAATTAAACGAGGCAAAACACAATGATTACAAGTGAAACCACATTTTAGCTCCACTTTCCCACTCATAAATTTTATATTTACATGAAGCTAAACCCATAAACGCAGAGATAGTTGGGGTGGGGGTGGGGATGGGGAGTTATAATCAAGGACACGCAGTTACAATTTTTTTGGGGGGGGGGGGAGGGGGGGGGGGGGTTAAGGCTAGAATATAATAATCTGAAGTGGCTCAGTCGCCGCACATATTTTACTCCCAAATTTTATCGCGCTGCATACTAAATGCTTCATTTAGCATATTAATTTTACGCTATGGTGTTGCCATGTTGTAATTAGTTAACAACAGTTATTAGCTCTTTTATCAGCGCCCGTAGAAATTCAATTGAATTTTGCTGGTAGGTTGAGCACTTCAACATTCTTGGGTCAATTTAGAAAAACAGACTCATTAACTCAAATTTGTCTCAAATGAAGTTAAACATGTTTTCATGAAAATCGCTTTTCTACCACAACTGCGTTTTCTTCAGACTATTTTATTAGAAAATGACGGAATATTTGTGCTCGGGTGGTTTTTTTTCCTCAAGACAAATTTCGGTTTTTAACTAACAATTTTCGACGGAATTTCTTATACCATTTGAAAGGTATTGTTGCCATGGGCTCAAATTTAAAAAGATAGTTGACCTGAGATAATGAGAGATTTTCGTTTTTCGTGAAGTTATGAGTGTTTAAAAATTTTCAATTTAGCAAATTTGGGACATTTAAGGCTCGATATATTTCGTGCCATTAACGTGTAGGCTGAGATTTGAACCGTCTTGGAAATCGTTCCAAATTGCTTTAAGGCATGCTTTTTGGTATATTTAGTACTTTCATAATTTCAAAAATTATTACTTTGTTCTTAACATAGCTTGTGGCGGATGGTTTAAAAAAACTAAAAAAAATTGAATTTTTTCTTGGAACTTTCATCAACTATGTTAATTTAAACTACTCCATGGAAATTGAATTGCAGTCGGAACATTCAGGTCTTTGCCTTGATATTCGAGTAGTCTTGTTGTTCCGAGTTTGAAGAAAACAAAAAATTTATGCTTGGGGTGGTTTTTGGTTTATTATTCAGTCAAATTTCAGCAATCAAAATAATTTTCTTTCACAAAACGTCATCAATTTTTTACGCTTGCGATTAGCAAGCATTATCAAATCGAAATATGGACATTTTATTAGGTTAACAACTAGTTTAACAGAAGAATAACTTGAATCACTTACTTTTGGTTCAAATGAAATCAAAAGTCATATGTTAATTTGTGCATGTGGCAAAAAGCTAACGCACATACCTATAAGACGAAGGTCAATGGTTCGAATCCGCCCAGGGCCTGTTTGTTTTTGTTGGTGAGCGAAAAATTTTACTCTTTTCAAAAAATCTTTGTCGGGCTTCTGTTGTCCGCTTTTTTGTCGGCCTAGTTACTGCAGCAACAAATCTACTTAAAATTTGTGCACTTTTTACTCAAACTAAAAAGCTTATTCCGGTTTTCTGTATTCCGACTTTGGGCAACTATACAAGTTCCAAGAAGTTTTGTCAATGTTTTGCTATTAATTTAAATTTCTTCAAGCTGCTCATTAACAATTTTTGGAAAAAGTTCTCTTATTAAATTCAAGGAGCGTTTTGTGCATTTCAGGCAGTGATAATTCCCATGCTTGAGAAGACAAATTCCAGAAGTTCGATTCCTGTCGGGACCTGTTTTTTTGTAGAAAGTGAAAACTTTAGAATTTTTTAGACTTTCGTGTCTTCTTATTACTGTCGGCTTAGGTCCCGAAGAAAGGTTTGGCTTCTTTTTAGCTTTGTAAAAACCTTTTTTTAATGGTGCAGGTAATTTTGTTCCAAGATTTTTTGTCCTTTCATGCCATTCCCTGAACAAAACAATTATTTTTATGTGTTTCATAATTTTTCATAAAGAGATGTATTAATTTTTTCAGTAGTTGTAAGTACTTATTGTTATTATGAGTTTCCTAAAATAAGTTACATAACCATTCGCATTCTACAAGAGCAATACTGCTCTCTTGTAAGCGTCCATAAATAATCAAACTAATTCTGCTGTTCGGTCGAATTCAAAGTTCATGGATCAGTTTTGAAAAACAGGCTCGTTAGCTCAATATTCTCTTTGATGGAAATTTTTAATAAAAACTGCCTTCACGGATGCCACTGGGTTTGGCGGCGGAGTTCTTTTGTTGTAAACTAAAACATCTTTTTTCTTCATGAAGTTTGTACCCCTAAGTGCACAAAGCTGCAGTGTAAAAACTGCTGCGAATGAAATTATAATTCTGATAAATCGCTAATAGATTCAAAACTTCTTCAAAAAGTTGAAGAAACACGATCTCCAAACTTGTATCAATTGAAATATCATTGAAAAAGTCTATCAATTGGTCGAACTTTTAACGGTTTTTCTAGCCATTAAAATCTGATCAATATACTTTTAGATGTAAGAATATTAACCTGACAATACGAAACCAAGGGTTTGTGTGTGGGTATTAGAGATCATTAAAAGCAATTTACGGCAAAGTAGTTATACACTGCGCATGAACATAACGCCACAAAAACGTGCCAATTTTAGACTTTTTGACCAATGAATGTTTGTTTGCTGCTGAACAAAAAATTGGTTAAAGTCATCTGCTCGTGCCATTAGTTAAGTTGACCAGTAAATGAGCCGTGAAATGATCCTTTAACTTTCATTGCGAGAATACAAAGCCGGTAGTGAACATAGTTTTCGTATTTATCAAATCGATTCCAATTTTTCTGACAATCATTCAGAATTCAGTTTTTTTTTCAATAATGCAAAATAGGGATCAGTTAGCAGACAAGAGCAGTTTTGTTTGTCTTTTGCGCCCGGTTAAATTGTTTTGTCAACACTTTTTTTTATAAAAAGTTAGCCTGATGCTGACGGAACCTGATTACTTATCAGACCTCACGCTAACTAATGTTTTTTTTTAGTACAGTCATTGAAAATTGGGCTCTTTTTCCTGTCCCCCCCCCCCCCACCTCACACAAGCATCATTTTTATGGTCTAATGAGTAATTATACAGAGTTGATTATGAAGACCAAATATGTTTGTCATGGCCTAATCAGTCTGCATATCATTTTTCATGACAATCGGACAATGTGAACAGTAATTTTAATTAGAAAAGTTTGCAGGTGGGGGAAAAGGAAAAAGAGCCGAAAATTGAAGCCAACTCTTGTACCTTTACCCTTGAAAAGCGTTAGTTTGGAGCTAAAGGGGGTGGCCTGGTTGTGAGCGGACTCTGCGCAGATACAGCCGCAAGTTTTTTTACTTTGTAAAGATTGTTTCGAGACCAGGAGTCAAAAATTGATTTTTTTACGGTTCTCAACATAAAGATTATCAAATATTAAGCTTCTTTGTATGTGTGCTCCAGCTTATCTAGCAAATTCAGCTTCAAGCGAACGGTTGTGTTTAAAGTAAAAAACCGTAGGGTCACTTATAAATTGTGCCAGTTTTTTTTTAGAAAAAGGTACGGTCAAAAAAAAGCATGACGGAACGTATGATGGTTAGCCCTGAAAGTTCGGATTTCAGAAGACAATCATGTTTCCTTTAATGGCTAATTGAGTCTTTTGATCAATATTCTGACAAAAATTTAAAAAACGTTGAACCGCTAGAGTTGCATAACTAAATGAAATGTTCCAAAAATACAAAAAATTTTGTTGGAAATCTTAATTCGAAAAGCATAACTTATAACTACAATCTAAAAAATTATAAAGTACGAAAGCTTTGAAAGGATCAAGTGAGTAAAAACCTTTAAAGCTTGGTCAACCTAATTTTTTTTATCTTAACTTAAATCCAGAATCCAAGATAACCTTTCTTCATCGACTAGGGAAGCACTTCGATGAGCTCCAATATGAATTATGAAAAATTTTTTTAAATTGAGTTTGAAGATCACCCGCATCCAAGTTTAGGCGTAAGTAATCGATTATAGCGGATTATTATGATGATTTTTCGACAATTATAATTGATATATTAAAGGATTTATAACTGATTATAATCGTCATATTTTCCAAGAGATTATAATCTCTTATAATTGATTATAGTTCTTACAAAAAACCCTTGAAATCAATTATAATCGATTATAATCGATTATAATTTCATATTTTGCGAAAATTTTGTCATTTCAAAACTATATTCGAATTAAATTTTATGGGTTATTATTTTTATGCCAATAAGGAAACCTCTAAAAGAGATCTCTTGAACATTTTGGTTCATCTGAACACAAAGTTTTACCACGAAACAAAAGTTTCATAGAAATCCTTTCATATGAGTGGAAAGGTTTCCGCGGTAGATGAAAAATACATCTTCCGAATCACTCAGAAAACTAAATCAATTTGCTGATGTTTTGGTGTTTGAAAAAGCTTCAAATATGAATCGCAAAACAACTTAAATGGGGAAGAAATGAAAAAAAAAATTTATAAAATTGAATTATTTGGAAAAGTAAAAAAATATTTTTCTCTTTTTTCATAGGAACCAACGTCTACAAAAATCCTAAAATATAAACAATTTAGATGCAACTTCGAAGACAAAAATGGACAAACAAAAAGGATTATAATCAATTATAATCGATTATAATGGATTTTTGTGCGAAACTAGTGAACTAGAAATTTGAAAAAAAATATTGGTTTATAATCAATTATAATCGATTATAATTGTATCGAAAAATAGGCAAATAAATAATCGATTATATTCGATTATAATGGTTTATAGTTAATTATAATTTGAGTTTAAAAAGAGAGATTATAATCGATTATTAATTGATTAAAATCGATTGCTTCTCAATTTTAGTGAGACTGGTACTAAAATCGTAATATAATCGTTTTTTTACGCTTGAAACTGGATGCGGGCACTTGCTTATAATTTTCAGACATAATCATAGTAGATATATATTACTATCAAGGATGATTGATATAAAAATATTTAATTGTTTTGTAGTTCATTCAATCATAATTCTACGTAAACATTTACTCTAATAGATAAAAAGTGCTAGACATACGATTTCATATTTTGCCATTCATTCCACACGCATGAAAAATTGTTTGAGCAATTTTGTGCTGAAAAATTTCTAAGAGTATAAATGAATTTTGAAATTGAGTTTTTTTTTAGCCAAGAAGTTTAATCAAGAAAATTCCTACACTGAAAATTCAAAAAATGTCAATTAAAGTGGTTTCGAAAATTTTCTGCTTTCAGACTAATTAAAGACAAAAACCGATGAGAGGCTGGCCTTCCACTACAATTTTATCTCACTTAAATACAAAAAATTTTCATGTCGTTATTGCCATTTTACTTCTCAATTTTACCATGAATTAGAAAGTTTGAAAAAAATAAGATTATTTTTTCGATCTTCTTTTAACTTCTTCAAATTTGTTTGAAATTAAATATTTGAATCAAAGGTAGGAAAATTCTCCGCTGCATATTATCGGCAGAGCTTGTTTTTCCCATAAACTATCCAGCCGAATTTTTGTTCCGACTTTTGTAACGAAAGTAACGGAATATTTATGGTCGCGGAGTTTTTTTTCTTCAGACAAATTTCACTAGCCGTTCGTTTTTGATAATTTTTTAAAAACTACTCAAAAGATTTTGTTCTTCCGAGCTTTAAGTTGAAAAACATTTTATCCGTTTTCGAAAAACTATGGAGGTTTAAAGATTGCCATTTTAGCCAATTTGGGACAATTAACGCGCGATATATTTCGGAGACTAAATCTGTCTTAGAAATCGTTTCAAATTGGTTGAAGAAAATTTATTTGCCTTAATTGATCTGTTAGTATGAGATAAATTTATCATTTTGTACTTTATGGATGGTTTTCACAAAAAAATCTCAAGTTAAAAAAAGTTTTAATAAGTTTAGTTTTTTCATGTTATTACAGTTCCATAGACCTTAAAAGGAGGTCGAAACCTTCAGGGTTTCGCCCTGATACGAGCAGTTTTGTTCGTTTTCTATTCTAGAAAATCTTGAGATCCTGAGCTGCGTTTTAAACTCAGTAATGCTGGGATAAAAACACTCACAGGTGTTAAAAACATTTAAAATTTCATAGATAAATGAATTATGAGACTTTTTAAGGAAGAAAAGGCTAGATCTGAAGCAGCAGTATGAACAAAACGCTCGGCTTTTACACTAGGCGCAAAAATTTTTCGCTGAACTTTTTTTACGATCTGAATTCTTGGCATGGTTTTTAAACCAAAGAAGGCAAGAGTGAAATCATACACTTTCAATTTTGGAAAACGTTTATTTGGGTACAGAATTGATATTGTGACAGAAAATGTGATAAAAATGTTTCAGACATTTTTGAATTTTCAAACTCTTTTTTTGATGGTATGGTAGGCAACCCGGGTAAAAACAATTCCTGATTGATTACAAAAATGAAATAGTTTATTCTGAAACTGAAAAGTGGCACGAAAAAAATTTTCTTTTCAGCTTTGCCTACCAAAAAATGCTGCTTGTAATCAGCAGCGGTTTGAGGGAGAAATATAAACTTTTAGGCGGCTGATCTTAAGCCTTTTCTAAAAACGCCTTCGGCGGCAACCTACACTAAGTTTCAGGGGGGAGCGCGCGCCGAAAAACGCAATTTTTTGGTCGACATTTTCCAAAAAGTGCACG